CCTGCTGTCGCCCTGGGGAGGCAAATGCAGGTTACAGGAAGAGTCCATTGTCCCCCACAAACACCCCCTCTTCTTCTTCTTCAGGAAACCTCTGTAGACGCGAGACCTTCCTTGCGCCCCAGCAACTCAGCAAAGCTGTGACCATGTCCCCGCTTTCACTTCCTGTCCAGAGGGCAATGCGCAGAACATCCCACGCTGGGCTCCTCCTGCATAATCCCTGAGGCCCTGCCTGCCCCACGGCATCTGGCCGGGGAGCAGTACAACCTGGCCCTATAACGGCCAGACACCCCCCAGGCTTGGGGTGAAGGGGGCAGCAATGCCTGGGGGATCGGCCCCGGGAGCAAGGCAGCGCTGCAGGAACTGGCACCGCTCCTTAGGCCCAGCTGGCCCTGCTGGTTTGCCTTGATCTGCTCTAGCCCCAGGGGAGGAGCTGATTACAATGTAAATGAGCCCCCAGCTCGGGGCTGCCCAGTGCTTCCTGGGAGCTGACCGCTCCCCCACACACTGCACTGCAGCTGTTTACAGCGGAGGGGAACAGCCCTGCCTGGCGGGAGGGTGGCAGGAGCCCCCCCCACCCCATACACTGAGGAGCCCGGGCCCCACATCACTCTGGCAGGTCCATGGCCTGCGCTGGGCTGCAAATGGCTCTTTACCTCTTCTTGGGGTCATACATGAAGAGGAAGTTGAGCAGGCGAAGCCCAGCCTCCGACAGCCACGGGAACTTGTGCTTGAGGTTGTTGTAGGGCTGCTTCCGCAGGGTGTACTGGCTCACTAGGGGCAGCTTGGAAAAGCCCTGGGGGGAAGGGAGACATGAGAGGGTCAGGGAAGAGTGGGGCAGGGTGGGGGATGCAGAGCGAGCACTTACTGGCCAGATGTTTTCATTGGGCGTCCCCAGCAGCTGCACGATGAGGTCAATCTGGTGGATCTCTGAGCTGCCTGGGAGTAACGGCTTGTGGGCCAGCAATTCCGCGAGGATACATCCCACTGCCCTGGGGAGGGAATAGGCCTCCTGGGTTAGTGGGAA